GGTGCTTAGTTGCTGGCTGGGGCTAAACCACGACACCCCGCTATTCAGTAGTAAAAAACCTGTTTACAGAATTTGGGCAACTTTTTTTTTTCCCCCCCAAAAGAAGAAAAGGAAGATTAATTAGCAAATTGTTGTTTCACAGTTCCTATCATGAGAGAGACCTGGCCATCAGCAAGGAGCCCAGTTAACAGGGAAGGCATTCTGGGATTCGATTGCTCATGTGTTATTGTTGAATGAATAAATATAACCCACCTCATTTTCAAATCTGGCACTTGTGAAGTAGCTACTTAGTCAGGTGAAGTGTCATGGGACCCATGGTTAGACCACAAAACACTTTTTTCCTCCCTAACTATTTTAGCTGACTGAGAAACACGGTTTCGTAATATGTTTTTTAACCAAAGGTGTCCTAGAGCCTTACAAACATAGTGTAAGAGTTCCAGGACTCTTTTTGTGTCTTCAAAATAAGAGATGTACCATAGTGCTCTTCTTTTGTCACAAAATCTAATTTTTAGAGTGTGATGATTTTAGAAATCTCTTTTTATGGGAATATGAAGAAGTTGAAACTTCCCAAACTATCTCAGTGTTGCAGCTGCAGCAGTCATGAGAGGGCTCCTTTTCATCGCCTTTTGGGGTCCAGTGGATCTTAACAAATACTTACACCGCACCCACACCTACAGCAATCTGAGCAGCAGGGATATGTCAAAGGAGCTACGTCCAGGCAAGAAATCAGCCGCTTTCTTAACGGCAATGCAAATCACTGCTCAGTGATACAGAAATAGACCTAACCCAGGTACTCCAGCCTGTAAATCCATTTTGACCTGAAATCAGTGAAAAGACCATGCAAGATGGATGGGCCTGAAGTTTAACTATGAGGAAGGGAAAGGAGGTGCTGGGGCTGGTAAGAGAAAGACCCCAAGGGTTTGCTGCCCATCCAGGGGCAATGCAGGGCTCACCCTGATGCTCTGTCGAAGTAGAAGAGCCGCTCGCCGGTCCCGTTGAGAGCGCTGGCCCGAGAAGGAGCAGCGAGGTAGTGCTTTACGCTGTGCACTGTCCCTGTCCGTCGCTGGTAGATATCCGCCACCACCTGGAAAACGGCTTCCCTGGGATAGCAGAGAGCAACATGCAGCCAGTCTCCTCTGTCGGCAAAACGGGGAGGCAGGGGGAAAGAGAGAAAATGCACTTAAGGGCTGGAGTACAGGAGAGATGGTCTGCAGCCAAGAGTACAGTCTTCAGGGGAAAACAAAGAAATGTCCTTTGAGGTTCTCCTCCTCCTTTAAAAAAACACAACAAATCCTCAAAGCCAAAGAAAATCAGATTTTTTTTGCTTTGTCTGGAAACAACGGCTGCTTATTACAAAGGTCTGATCCAGGGACCCCGGCTGACCTCAGAGGACTTTGAGTCAGGTGCCAGGATGGCTTAAAACCAGAGATTTTCTCTTCCTTGCCCCTTAAGGCTGCAGTACAACCAGTCACATACCCACTTGTGTCTCCCGAGGCAGCAGGGGCTTGTTTTAGTTCATCCGGAGCTGCTGCAGGAGAGGGAACCGGTATCCAGCAGAGGTTTCACCGGGGGCACAGATTCAGGAATTAGAAAGTAATCTCTGACTTGAACCAGAGCCACGGTCTAAAGAGACCTGCTTCCTCCACTTTACAGCAAAGTTTATTATTATGGTTTCCATTAAAATCTCCCTCTCCCCTGCTCTTTCTTCAACGTCAGTTTAAAATAACTAAGGGTAAAGTTAAATAATCTTTTAACTCTTGTGTATCACCATTTCAGCATGCACATTTACAAAAAATTGCCTCTGTAGCTTTCCTTTAACCTGTGATTTGCATCGCCACCCTCATGGAGAGAAAAACTGGCTCCAAACTAGAAATCTTTGTTACACGACTCAGAGCCAAAACATGCAGCTATGGTGCACTTCAGATAATGATGGGAAGGATCTTCCACAAAACCTGAGACTCTTTCCTGTCTGCAGGATGCACTTGTACTATACAAAGTAGAAAGCCACAAGAAGTTTACACTTGAAAAGAAAATCCAAATACCAAGATATTTAGCTTTTTTTTTTTTTCTTTCTACCTTCTGAAGTGGCTCAGTATACCACGCCAAAATGCCTGAACCAGTACCATGGTTGGCTTTCCCTATATTACCAAAAACATCCAGGCTTTAAATGTATTCTTTTAATTATCTGGCTTCCTTGTTAAAATGTGAGAATACAAATTTCGCTTAGAGAAAGACAAATACCACCTTCATTGGCTGTCTTTCTGGGCCCTACCAAGCTGAGGAAGACAAAGTTTCTCCAAAGGCTTCCCTGAAATGACCCACCACCCATCCCTGTCTGCAGAGCGATAAATGGGGGGAAACCACTTCAATTGGGAGAAAACTGGGAATCTGCATGCTTAGACCTCTCCTTTGCATTACACATGGAGAGCACAAAAGCAAAAGCCATTTCTGCCTTTTTCTGGTTTTCTCATTAAAACAAAACAAAACTATCTACAGGATGGAAGAGGGGACAGGCTGTTCTAGAATAATAAATCAAAGCTGCACAAAGACCCATCAGCTTAAGCTAGATACTGCCCTCTAGATTTTAACCAACTCCAGCTGTGTCATAACACAGGACAGCTAGAAAACGGATATATTTTCAGATGATTTGGCCTCTGACTAGAGGAAATGAAAGAAATGCACCAGAGCCATGTTTGTGGAATATTTTTAAGACAGAGTCCCAAGACATTTGGCTGTTTCATAAGGGTGATTTGCATTGCGTTAGCACATTTCATCCCCTGAAGACACCATCAAGAAAAGGGCTTGTCATCTCCCTCAAATGCTGGGAACCAGCTTTGGTGCCATGCTACGCCGACTGCCACCTCCCTGGGGAACAAGAAAGGCACTAGAAAAGGCAATTGGAGGGTGAAAGAAAAAGAAAGCGTGAAAAACCCACAGCTGCGACCATCTTGAGTCGCTGGGGCATTTGGGAATATGAGTGCTAGAGCCTAGTATGCACATGAGCAGGCTGAGTGAAATGCTGAAATAAATTATATCATGATTGAAAGGATCAAATGAAACACACCTGCTTTGGAGTTTGTGGAGGAAGAGATGGAAATAAGTGCATTCCCACAACAAAGGCCTTGGGAAGACATGTGAGAAGGCATTGGAAGTTATCCTTTATGTAAATATAAGACAGAATAAGGTTGTTATTTTCTCTTTAATTTAGTGGTATTTTAACAGCTTCCTATTTAGTTCATTACTTCAGTTCTGTTTCTTCAGCCTGTACAATATCTGCTGTAAACCCTCCCAAATACCTGGCTGTGTGGCTGAACTGGGCTCCACCATCTCCAGGAAAAGCGAAGCAAGAAACAGCAGCACTGCTGCGGGACGGGCCACAGGACCCTGCCTTGCAGCTGGCCAGTGGATGGCGGGTTAGATGCCTGTTCTCCGGCCATTGCCAAAACTGAGGGAGAAATGCAACCTTAGGCAACACATGTCCGTGTGCCTTCTTCAGCCACTGCACTGGCCACCAAGGACCTGCTGGCTGGGTATCAATGCAGGAAGCCTTCATCTTTTTCAGGGTGGTCAATAAACTGTGGCTCCTGCTTTATTTCTGTGCTTAAACCTCTCCATTCTGTCTTATTTACCAGCTGCTACTCTGGGGTGAATATTTACAGATAGAGTAAGAAAAATAAGTCCTTGTTCTGCCACTCTCAGTACCGGCACACCAGCTGGGATCTTTGCAGATGCCCCGGAGGCGCGGGGGCACATGCAGCACTAGCAAGAAGAGAAAACGCTGAATTCACAGCAGATTCCAAATTATGAATTCAGAGTAATTTCAGACCCCTGCCTGAATGCTGTGGGAACATCTGTAGCTTTAGATGCTCTTATGCTTAAAGACCAGCACAAACAAAGGGGAAAAATAATTTAAAACGCAAGGGGTAGAAGTCACGCTATCGATACACAAAATGCTGTCCAATGTAGCAATACACAGGCCTTTTTTTTTTTTTTAAAAACTTTCATTCTTAAGAGTTTCTTGCAAGAGAAGCAAATAAAAATATTCTCAGGTGGAAAAATCTGACTTTGGAATTAGCTGTCAGTTTAAGTTAAAGCCATATTAACACATGTAGGAAACTCACAAGGTATTTAATATAATTTCACCCCAAAACTAAGTAACTGTGTTCACAACCTTTTGTGGTGATAAAGTTCAGTTCATTTTAGAAGTAAGGAACATTCTTGTTTCTTTTTTTCATTCTTGTTCTTAATCATACCAACATTTTCCTTTGTGTTTTCACAAAAAAAACCCCTGGCATTTGAAGGAAAAAAGCTGAATATGCACTAGCAAGAAGTGAGTGGTTAGTGGGTCCTAACAGTTTCAAACACCACTTGGAAAATTTTTGAGTCTCTGCCAACACCAGCATGTATAAAACCTGACACTTCTGCCCCTCTGTTACTGTCATTCAACAATCCCCATAGCGTGTTTCATGCATTTTTATGAATGTATTTAGCCTGTTTATTTCCTTTTGGAGATGACTGGGTGAAACAAACTCAAGCAGCCTTTCTTTTTTCACCAGGATATTGGCATTTGCAGTTCTGGCTCTTTCAGGTGAAGCAAAAACATCAGGCAAAGTGTTAAAAAAGTATTCTTATGTTTTGGCAATGAGCAGGCTTCCTGGGATAAGCAAAAGCAAAAAAGGATGAGGAAAAGGCAAAAAAAAGCAGGCAAGAGGCTTCCTGTTCTTGGACATGTGGTAGATAGAGATCTGCACGTACGCACATACATACCTCATTTACAACCCTCAGAACAACCCCAAACTCCCAAAGGCCAAGCCACTCAGAGAAACGTGATCAAGCAGGCAAAGGAGGGGAAACTTTTGTGAGTGGTGGGATGTGAAGTGAGTCATGTAACTTGGAGATGAGATTTGGCCGGAGTAAACATAGAAAGAGTGCATGTCTGGGACTCTCACTGCCTGGGAGAGGAGAAATAACACTTGTTCGGTATTGTGAACGTGCCCCTTGACTACATCAGATGGAGTATCAGTCCTGGGCAGATGGGTGTGATCTTGTGCTGGGATTGCTGGTTATGCTGGACATCAATCGTGGCTGTATTTTAGCTAAGGAAACTTCCACGTTGATGAATATTACTCTGGAAAGCATCTCCACCATGTTTATTGACATGGTGTGTCACGTAGCTGATGACCATGGAAGTGCACAGTCCAAATCCTGATCTCACTGATGAAAATCTGGGGTAAGCTAATGAGGGAATGCCATAGAGTACAACTAAAAATTACTTATTTTTTCCTTGGGCTCAAAAAACCAAGAGACCTTCATCCAGTGAGTCAATCTCCCCCAACTGTCATTACTCCTATTTAAAAACAACCCCTCTGACATTTTGGTCAACATCTCCGTGAGCTGAACTTTCAAAGGGAGTAAGACAAGTGGGAATTTGAAACTTTCCTGTTCATAATATGGGAACTAAGCAAAAATCCCCACATGCTGTTTTGGTAAGTTTGTCTCTCACAGGCTGAATTTTGAACTTCAAAGACAAAAAAAGCAAATCCACCATTCAGCCTCCAACCCATCCCAAGAACAAACGACAGGAGGTCAATGCTCCTTGCTCTCAGTCGGGATACAGCTGTTTCTTCTCCCCAAAAATGTCTCCCAACCTCACAACAACCTGCCCAGCACCAGGCTGAATCTTCTCTAGCACAAAACCTGCTCTCAGGACAAGCCACATCCTCTCCAACCAGCATCACTGGTGGGGAAAATGGAGTGAGAAATACCCACACATCTCCCAGGTGCTGAGAATAGTGGAGAAAGGGCTGCAAGGAACCTGGCCACGTACCCACCACTTTCTCTCAGTTCAAGCTCTT